AAAATTTTTGATTTAAAATAGTTCCAAGTAAATAATCTGGGCTGATCCCATGACAAAACCGCTAAACCATAAGATTTGTGGGACAATTCTATGAAATTTGTTTTTATTTAAATTAAGGAGTTTTTTGAATTAACTAATAAGAATAGATGATGGATAGTAGGTCAAGTAAAACTGTATAGTGTAGATGTTGTGATTGACCAGGGCCCTGGGGAAAGTAATGAGTGGGGATCATATATATATAATGTGCTTTGAATATTGTTTTGTAACATGTTGGGCTTTCTGTGCTATTATGGTTTAAAAATGTAATTAGTTGAAAATTGGGACCTAGATGTTCGTGCCGAAAGAGAAAATCTTTTCTCGCGTGTGATATTGCTATTATTTTGTTTTGAATTTGTCACAGAGATGCATCCTCAGTTTTTTATTTGTGACTCGGGATGTGATGTGGGGGGCATTAAAAATACGTGAGCAGCGCTTCCTCGCTTTAACTAAGGGAAACGAGTTAGGCCAGTTTTGAGTGCTTTCAATAACTTTGATTTAAATTTCAGGTGTTTTAATCAGGTGAATAGAATGGTGTAGTAGCCAAAAGATTTAGGAAATAAACTGGAGGACATTTTACAACACAAAAAATGCCATGTTTTGGGAAAACAGGTAACGAATATTATTTGAGGAAGGGATGGTGCCCAATATTTTTCCTGAAATGAAATGTGAAATTTATTTGTATCAGTGTTTTTATTCCTAAGAATTGATATTGTTGAAATTTAAGTTGTCAAAACCTTTATTGGCTTCAATGTCGCACAACATATTCAGGAGCTTTATTGCTACTACTGCTAAATTTTAATTTATAAACTTAAAACTTGCTTCGCATCACCATCAAACCAAGTAATTGCTACAAAAATGATAAAGGCTATCCTTTTTATCTAACCGTCCGTGTTAAAAATTTCACGCTGCTCTCGCCCGGGGGGGGGGCGTCGCTGCGCGCAAGAACTGGAAGTTGATCTGTCAGCACTATCGTTTTCTTCAGGGCAGAGTGTTTTTATTTATTCGGCTTAATTCTTTACTAAGTAGAATTCATTCGATGACTCCGTCTTTGATATGATTTAAAATCAAATCCTCTCGTTATAAATATCACGAATACAAATCAAATAGTTTTTTGTTGCAATTTCAATTTCGGCTATGCGTAAGGGCTTTTAGCGCGCGTTCGTTGAAAGAAATGTTAAAAGTAAACAATAAATATTAGCTTCTTTGAAAAATTGTGAACCCTTTAGATCATAATTGCTCATTATTTTATAAATTACGGTTTCTATTTAATTTTATAATATCTGCATGCCATCTTACCCAGTAAAACTGATGATCTATAACCGGAATCACCAAAGTCCCGACGAGTCGCATTAAAGACTTTGACTGTAATATCATATAGTATCTGTTTGAATGTGCGTGCACAATTAGCTTACATACACGTTACACATTCACGTTTGTGTTGCATATCCACACAATACCTCATCTCCATATGTTATACCATCCGCATATGCATATCAGTATGATTAGGCTACTAGAGAGAATTCATGAGAAAGTTGAAAGGCGGCCTGAAAAGGCCTCAAGTTAAGAAAAATGAAAGGGAGTTTACGAAACCCCATAGGCATGAAGGTCATTGGACAAGTGGCAGGGGAAGGCTTTTGGACAATGATTATCTTTTCACCCTAAATGGGGGAAGGAGAATTTTTCTGGTCGAAATTTCGGGCACAGCTATCCTTTTGAGACCCTGAAACTCTGGCCTCTAAATGTTAAAAGTATTCTTACCTCTTCCTTTAGCCATCAACAGACGTTGGATGTTGTTAACAATTTACCGACCACTAGCGGTTCAACAGCATACGCACGTCTGACCGGCTACACAGCCTCAGACTCTCCCTGGCACCGGCTGTTTTTCAGTTTAACACAAGTGAGCAATGTACCTCAATACTAAAAATAAAATGCAGATGATATAGCAAATGACAATTGCTTATCACCATGGCTACCGATTGATAGGCTATTTTTAGGTAGCCACAAGAAAAAAGTGATTAATAGGCTATCGGTCGGTAGGCATTGGCGGAAAAAAGCTGATTAATAGGCTATCGGTCGGTAGGCGTTGGCGATAAAAAGCGGATTAATAGGCAATCGGTTGGTAAAGTATTAATTATTGGATGAAACCCAGTATCAATTCTGTGTTGTGTCAAACTGGTTCAAACTACGTCAGAGGATAAGTGGGAAAAAATGTCTTGAAATCCTTGAATGACACATTCAGCAGCACTCCCCTCTTTATCGCTTAGCTATGCATTCTGCAATAACTACAATGTTAGGCTCTCTGAAGAAATGGATGCTGGAGGATTGCTGTTTCGTCTAATGCTGGTTAGTAGAGTACATGCTACAACTTTCCTAATAACTCTCAGCTTATCAGTTACATTGGCGACTGTCACAGGGATAACAGTCCTTGATAGGTCGGCGAGTGCTGAGCACTTCTTTCAGGCTCTTAAAGTCCTTGGGATATTCGATGATGCTGTAATGGAAATTTCTATTTTCAGCTATGCATCAAGAAGTAAAAATTGTGTTCTTGATATTGTCTTGAGCTATGATTCATGACAGAATTGCTTCATTCTAGAAAGAGAGTTTTTCCTTCTGCAGATGAAGTTAAATAGGTAAAATCCATGTAAAAAAGGATATTTCCTACAATCAATGGTATGCAGGGATCTGTAATATCTGCCACATATGCTGTGTGATGCTTTTCAAATGACGGTATCATTAACTCCTGTATTGATAGTCATGTTGCAGGGAACTCTATTGATATGTTCCATTACTAACACCATCTATTGCAAAAATCTGAATTGCTTTAAAATGGGCTTCTTGTTTCAAACTCTGTTCTGCAAGATGGCCACTGTTTCTTGCATCCTTCCTGGACAGTGGTCTTATTTTTCATGCCCTGTAGCGGTGTGCAGTTTCTTCTTACATGACTTTGTCACTCTCGCCAAACACAAGACAAATCACTTACACAAGCAGTCACTTAATCCACTGGCTTCTAGACTTAAGCAGCTCTGATTGGGTGGCGGTCTCTACGAGTTGCTTGCTAGGCTGCCTCGAATTTAATGGCATACACTAAAGTGCCTTTTAAATCCTTGACATCCACCATTCACAAAGCTTTGTGTATTTCAGGATCCCAGATGCCATCAATGAAGTGCTGCAGGATTTCCCTTGTTTCTGCCGGGAACTCCAAAAAGGCAAGATGAGACAGCCTCTCAACATCTGTGGTGAGCTCCTGGAGTGTTTCTGAGGGTTGACGAGATTTTAACTGAAGCCTGCTGTAGTCTTTTAAACATTTTTTCTTTAAGCACAGCTCCAATATGCGGACAGAACTTCAAAGTTTAGCCTCTGGCTATCAGGAAGAGTTTAAAAAACATCCAGAGAAGCAGAGAGATGACAGGCCTTAGCTTGGGAATCCCATCCATTCGCTTTCACCACTATAGAAAATTGTATCTTATACACGTGCCAGGAGGTCTTTCCATAATAAGTGGATAGCTTTAGAGAGGGACAAGAATTCATGGATAAAATTTTAAAACCATCAGGATGATTGCTTCCTGCTGTTACTATGTATTTCTTTAAGGTTTCACCTTCTTTGGCTATGGCAAACATTCTTTCGTATATTTGTGTTTTGACAGAAAAACTTTTCTCAATATCCTTTCCCAACTGCATTATTCTGCCTTCCAAGCTCCAAATTTTTCTAATGCAGGGATTCGCTTTGATTTACTCTGACCTTGAAAGCTTTCATCTCATCTTTAATGGATTACCGCTCGACATTCCGACAAATTGCAAGATTCCCTCTCCCAACAGATTCTAAGTCAGCTTTCGTCTTTTCCTTAATGGAATCTTGGACAGCTTCCTTCTTTTCGTGAACAACTTTTGTCTCTTTTTTGAATGTGAAAAGACAGCAGAGACGCAATTGAGTCCATCTCCTCCATCAACCTCGGTCGGACACCAAGACTTTTGTGGGTGTATGGGTTCATAATAGGTGAATACACACAGGTCTGATGATAAGTTACTAAAATTTATTTTATCAAAAGAAACCTCAGAGTTCTGGAACTTTCCACAGAATTACCAGTGCATGTATCCACAATAACACACAGTACAATCAGTAGTTATACTTCAGGCTACTAAGAGTGTTAAACAGAATGCAAGCAAAGCTCATCTAAAAGGCAAAGCTTTCAATACTCTGAAGTTGCTCTGAACTAACAACTCACAGTAACAATAAGGATAAGTAAGTAAGGATGAGTGAGTAAGGATATTGCCTCTGGCTTATATAGTTTTCAGCCGGCCGCCAAGATATTTCTAGTACTTTCTGCTTCTCAAAACTACTGGAAGGCATATTAGTGTTGAATACAGTTACAAATGAAATAAATTACAATTATTCAATTACAATACTATTACGTGATATAGGGACTGGACCAAAATGTCAACAAATGGTCATGAAGTTTGGCGACTTTAGGCAATTTCTCGCCAAATTAACGAGATAACCATTTACTCAATATTAAATAGACTTGCCCCTGTATTCTTACTTTTTCAGCAAGCTTCACTCTTTAAATTTTCATGTTACATTACACAAAAAAAGTACAACAATTTCACATATTATCTCAGTACAATTACCTATCTATGTGCAAAATTCATAACAATGTTAAATATTTTAATACCAGTCATAATTAGTTACAGAATGTTGAGCTTTTTTATCCTATAGCTCATAACAAATTCGTAATATGTAAAATGCTATTGAATATCATCAATATATGTAAACACTGTTATTTAAGATTATTAAAGAGTTTAAAATGCAGATGAACACAAATCAAAAATTGCATGAAATATTTTCTTAAGAGCTGGAAAAAAAAATCTTTCATTATATACAATTGAGCAAAGAGAGTTAGTAATTTAATTTTTTTTATAAAAATGAAATATTAAAAGTTTTAAGGCTAAAAATCGCTACTCACACATCTTTATATTCTTTAGGTGGTTGAACATTAACAGGATCTCTAGGTAAAATCAAGTCAACGACAGAAAGAGCAACAGTAGGATTTGTTTGACCAGCCTATAAATTGAAATTTTTTCTGTCTATTAAATGCTTGTAAATGCAAGAAAAATTTAAACGTTTTCAATTTTTTTACCATTGGTCTATTAAAAACAGCAACTGTTTAACTTGACAAATGAGAACTGTAAACGAGTTTATATATATATTTTTTATTAAATAATAAAAGAGTAGATGGTGAGCTACTTTATATATAAAGGTTTGATAAATTTTTATAAAATAAAATTAAGAAATTGCTGTAGAAAAGATAGTAGATACAATTGACAACAATTTATAAAAGTTAAAATTAATATTGCAATGTCAGTTTTTATAGGCTAATATTACAGGACAAATGAAAAATATAGAAAGAAACATAAATTTAGCACTTGGAAAAAACCATAATGACAGAATGACTTGGTTAATGATGAAAATTAAAAACATTCATCTTGATTTGATATTTTAAACAATCAATCATTGCAGTAAAGATCCAGATAAATGCCTTAATATATTAATCTAATATAGCTGATTTTGACTTCATGCTCAGAAAATAATGAAGTTTTTTTACTATAGTTTGACTACAGAACTATAACTGGATATGAGCATATATTCACACATTTTATGATAAAAATATAAATGGTGTGTTATCACTTGTCATAGTTAAAAAAGACATAAATGAGAAATTTTGATATATTTGGTTTTAAACCTAAATTTCTTCCTACTCAGGAAATATATTCCATTACTCCAAACGATTGCATGAAAGTTTTTTTTTAATTGTTAAGTTTGCCAACCATGTTTTGCAATTGCATTCTAAGCATTTGCTCTTAAAAGTGAATGCTAATGAAGACTTTTAATTAATGTTGATTAAATTAGTGAATGTCATTAGAAAAATAATTTTCAGCAATACAAATATTAAAACATTCCTAAAATATTTATTTAAATTTCACTCAATTTTGAAAAATAAGAAAATATAAATTCCATAATTGATGCAGCAGGACAAACTTTAATTCAGGGCTTTGTACTTCCCTGTTTAGGTACTCTAAGCAAACCTTCAAATAAAACAGAAGCACACAATGCAAACAGTAAAATAATTTAAGGGAAACAAACTATATGTTCTAATCATGTGATAATATGAAATAATGATTTAACTACATTTTTAACAACATTTGTTAGTAGCCTACCTTTGGATACCTCAAACTCTTGAGTTCTGGATACACATTATTAGTTTCTGTATAGGAACCATAGTATGGATACACTAGGATATCCACATTTGTATCATTGAATGTAGCAAAGCATAGTTTTCTTCCATCTTTCGACCACCACAGAGCATGAGAAGAGCTCAAAACTTCTTCTGCAATACACACAGTATCTTAGCATTAAGATTCAATTCTGCACAACATCAATTGTACATTTAATACCAAATGATGCTTCTTTCAATTTACACGACTTTTTCCTATTTTTATTTGAAGCTATTATTTTCACAATTTTTGAAAATAATTAAAAAAATTATTTATAAAAACTACTTTATAAATCTAACTTTATCAAAAGAATTATTTTCTATATGGTGTAAAAAAGCAAATTAACCTGGCTAATAAACAAAAAAATAAATAAACAAGTAAAGAATAAAATAATAAACAAATAAATAATTTGGCTAATAAACAAATAAAGAAGTAACGCTATTTATTAGTCATGCTCTGGCTTCTTAATAGTATTAATGGTAAAAAGGACCATCTATAAACTGTGAAAAGCAAGCTTTCATACATGAATGGGCCATATTTCAGATGGCACATACTATAGTATCAAAATCACTAGTTTTGTGAATGAACAATGACTAAATTCTTATATTTTTATATAAACTAAAACCTTTTCATGCATACTGACTTAACTGATATTAGAATATCAAACTTTGGCAGTACATCAAGTTTTAAACAATTTTAGAGCATGAGCATGTACAAAGAATCATAAGACAATGATAATTAATAACTAATGATGACAGACATTTGGTGGTTTTATAGTCTTACAAGCAGTTAATTATTTCAGTTACAAATATTACTACTGTAAATATTGGGTCATCCAATAAATAATGCAGTTTTTTTAATGCTTCTTTTATTTTTCAAAATGAAGATAAAGTTCTTTTTAAATTTAAAACATACTCTCCTTCATCTTCTGCTAGTTTCTCAACAGCTACAATGGAATTTTTACAGCAGGATTTGCAGGATGTCATCATTAAGCTCTACAGATCTTCTATAAATTAGGCTCATCTTTTAGGCTGAAGCTCCTGGCTCAGAATTTCTGGAAACACTGCTGACACTGGCTTATGCTTACTGCCCGATCGTTCCAATGAATAATTATTAAACTCATAAAGCAACATATGCTGAATATGCTCCTTTGTCATTTCCATTATAGCTTTGAAAAAAATTATGTTAATTAATAAATGTTAAAATTAAACTGTACTTGCACTAAGAATAAGGTAAAATTACTAATTGCTTTCACAGCAAGTTTATTTGGTAGGTAAATTATCCCATTTTCCTTCAACTTTTCATGCAACTAAAAAAAGAGCATTATTCATAGGATGGCCCAACATAACCACCTTAACTAAGTTAATTTTCACAGTCTTAATAACTATTTGCTGTTTAACTTAAAAAAGGACATTAATATTTTTCAGCTAAAAAAATTACTTTATATTTTAAATTAACACATATTTAAAATAAAATTTTACACCTAAATAATAGTTCTCAGGTGAAACAGTATATAGGCATTTACCACTTGGAAAGGATAGCTTTATTTTATTGATTATAATTTTTTAAAACTGAAATTGATCTTAACATTTTTGAAAACACTTAATCTCATAAATTAAAAAATAGTACAAAAATTAATAATTGGGTATTAGCTGAGCTTCACTTTCGATTCATAATGCTGTGCAAAGAGATGTATCATGCTCAATCTAAAAACAATTTGTAATTTAATAGAAACTAGTAAAAAGCAGTTTTAAGAAACATGAAGACCACATGGCTATCTTTGTTGCAAGCATTAAGAACTACTAAGATGATCAATGATCTAACATTATATTACTGCTTTTAAAAATAACACTAGAATCATGGCAGCAGTAATCAACCCTCCTTTCTATACTTAAGATGTATTAATATCATTCAAACAATGGGGGAGCGAAGATATTATAGCAGTAAAGAAGTTGAAGATATAAAAATATTGAAAAAACAAATTTTTGTTAGGATGGATATCTTCTATTCTGGAAATAAATAATCAACTGTTTGATGATGGTGTTATAACAAAAGTTGAATTTGTAGAACTAATTAACAATTTTTACAGTATAGTTCCATAAAACTCTGAAAAATAAGGCAAACCTTTAAAAGGTCTGCATTTTAAGAGGCCTTTGTTAAATAATTCTACTTATTAATGTAAAGTTCAGAATTTTTTTTCAAAATACTGTCAAAGTTGATACTTTATAATTATTTTGATATTTATATTCATGCTCTGAATGATAAATGAAGATGTTATTTTTCAATAAAGTAAAATCATATTAGGAATATATGTGTTGTGATGTCAGAACTGGAGGAGATGATATGTAAAACTAATGAGAGGTGAACTGAAACATTTCAAATTATGAAAAATCAAATCAGTTTCAGGAATATCAGTAAACACAGTGACTCTTATTTCAGCAATATCTGGCACTAAAGTATCACCACGAAAGGTGTTTTCTTTACTGAATTAGGTCTAGTCCGATGAGAAAAACAAATTCTCTATTCAAACTGTCAAGGAAATAGTTATAACAAACTTATTTTAAAGATACTTCCTGTATGGAATTCTACACTATTTGCTAAGAAAAAAAAATTACCTTTCTAGAATAAATTCATTCATTAAAAAAAATGAGAGTTTCAACGGAAAATTAATGCCCTTGATCTTGATTCTATAAGCATGAAAATGATAATGTATGAAAGAAAATTGCAATAAGGTCAAATAAATGAAAATCTGGCTAAATTAACAAATTAGATACATTTTAGCTTACTGGCATGAATAAAGAAATAATAACTAACAATGACTTTTTTAAGACACAATGTCAAATTATGCCAGTTTGATTAGAGTCCTCCACCCCTTTTTCAAAATCTGGTCATCCTAATCCAGAACAATTTTCGATTGCTTTTGAACTTCCTTATAAATGATGCATTGTAATCAGGAAAATTTTTGGGCATCATATTTCAACAAAAATATCCATTTTGACCGCTATTGAGCACAATTTAATGTTTATGTGTTACATCTGTACGTAAGCATAGGATAAAGGACTCTTTTTTTTCCAAAACAGGTTGCAAAAAGGATTTAAGATGGATTCAGAAGAGATTTTTTTTCATGACGTCTGCACACATGAACGTAGGTATGTCTGTATCTATCTCGCATAATTAAAAAATGAATAGCCTCAGAACATTGAAATCTTGTATAACTTTGTATAGTGCTTTCATACTTTGTATACTTGTAATTTTGTATGCTGCTATAACATGTAGTTGTGCACTTTATTTTTTGGTTGCAATCGACTGCACCAAAAGTATATAAATATATATGCACCCACTCTGTTACTCAGCTTCATGAGCTCAGTTTTTTTTTTTTTTTTTTAATGTTGGTAAATTGTGCTTAAAAAATGATTGAATCATGTTGTTCTTATCTTTCGGTTAAGGCTTTTATGCCTTTTGTTAATCTGCATGCTAGAATTACCACCAATTTATTAAAAGTTGTTTAGGTGTGGCTAAGCCTAATTTTTTCACCATAGTAGCCATACTTGTTTACGTTTAAAACTTTAGCAGAATAGTGAATGAAGCCAGTTTCTGTGAATTCAGTGTCTTTTTGTTAAATGGGATCAAAAGTAACCTTTATGTTTTGTATATCGAAAAATCTGCCTTTTTGCCCGCTGGCAGAATTGCTTGTTTTTGCAAAGAAACTCTAATTTTAGTTGTAAAAATTGTTTTTTAACTGCTTTAACTAATTGGTGTTAATTTAGAAGTGAAACAACAAAAACTGTATTTGGTGTTTTATATTTTTCAATTTTTTAATAAAGATATTTCAAGGTTTTATGTATTTTTTGCCTAGCTGCGAAGTGAGAACTGTATTAATTGAATGAGAAATATATCTCTAATGAAATTCGAGGAAATAAATTTTAAATGAAATGCAGCAAACAATGCATATAATTTAATATTCTGTTCAAGGAAGTCATGAGGTGTACACATCATTTTTTTTACTTAATTCTACATACCATTATAAACTTCAAAATGCGTTGAATGGCTACTAAAATAAATCACAACTATGTGAAGTACGTTCTTCACTATGATAGAACTAAGGAAATATCATTAGGAAAAATAAAAAGAGAAATAAGACATGACAATTTTGTTAATAAAGCATACTCTATAAATAATTTAAAATATAAACATACAGACACATAAATATTTGAAATTTTATAGAAATCTTAGGATCTAACCTTCTGTTACCCAAAGAAACTTGAAATGTGGCTCAGATAACAAGTACATTTATAGAATTTAAAATTTCATTTCTTACATTATGGTATCAAAATAATGCGAACATTTCAGCTTGCTTCTTAAAAAGTTAAAAACAGAAATGTACCTTCATACACCCAGTCAGGAATACCATTATATATTATTCCCTGAATACCATTTGAAGTTATCTGGCGAGGTTTTGCAGAAATTTCAGATAAATAGTATACATTATTATCCAACACATAGACCTAAATGTTTAAAAATAAACAACTCATGTTAAAAAAATGTAACTTAGAACAATATTCATGAACAAAATTCAAAATGAACTTTTTAATGATTACTTTATTTGTAAATATACTAAAAATATACTTACAAGCTGATTTCCCACTGGTCCCCATGCTGCAAACTGCAAGTGTAATTCTGGTGTCTCAGGGAAAAGGGGAGCTAAGTAGCTGTGAATAACAAAATAAAATATACATAAACATTTGCTATTGAAAGCAACACAGAAGAAATAAAATTAAACAAATTAATTGTAAGAATGAAAGTAATAGATGTAAGCAATATATACAGCATAAAAAAAAAAAAAAAAAAAAAAAAGGTGCCACCCGTAGTATGAACTTATTACATAAATCTAAACAATAAATGGTTAAAAAAAGGTTGAAAGATAAAATTTTTATATACTTACTCACTGCTGATATTGTATAACAAAAATGCTGCTTTAAAAGTATACCTGAAAACCTATAACAGGAAATCAAATTAATTAAATAGGAATACGAAAGGAGAACTATTTACAGAAATTAAGCATATTTAGAAAAAAGAGATAACTTACCCTTTGATATTTATGTGACAGAAGGAGATATTGTCTATCAGGAGACAAAGCAAACTGAGATATGCTGTACTGCCTCTATACAACAAATAGCTTCAGATTAGACGATGTCAAACAAAACTTTTAATACAATAATTTCTCTCTTCTCTTTTAATCAATAATCTAATTTACAATGAATAAATTCTAGTGCAGAAGCAAAATATACACTATATATATATATATGAATATAAATTATGATTTATTTTTGATTACATTATTTCATTAGATGTGAATATTTTTATGTTCATGAATTTCATGTGAAATACAGTACAAAATCCGTAATCCGGTCTCGTCGGGACTTCGGCGATTCCAGATTAGGGTTTTTTCTGGATTATAGATCCTCAATTTAAATTTGGTAAGATGGCATGCAGAAATTATACAATTAAAAATATGAAATCATAATTTATGAAATACAGAACAATTATGATCTAAAGGGTATCAAAATTTACAAAAAAGCTTAATATTTATTTGTTTACTAAATTAAACATTTCTTTCAATGTAAGTTGTTTAAGATGCTTCCACAAAAAATTCAAAAAGTTCCTTTTTCTTGTGTCATTATAAAGTGCACTTTCCAGTGCCATACTTCTCGCATAATTTTGAGATAAATAGGCCTTTATCCATTTTTTGCAGCAATTCCACTTTTTGTTTAATGGACATCGAAACATGTTTTTGCTTTGTAGATCCTTTGGCAGCTCCAAAATTGAAAACTCTTTTTGACATAATCGAAAGTTCAAGCTTAATTTTTATAAAATTGTTCTAATAGTCTGCAAAAATAATAAGCCAGATCCAAGTTAGAAGATTAAGGAACAGTGCAATCTGCAACATTAACTGAAATGCCTCAGATAATTTTAGCCTAGCTTATACCATCGGTTATAAATTAAACGTGCATAAAGTTTGTAGCTTTGAGGTCTGGATTATGGACGTCTGGATTACAGACTTTGTACTGTATATGTAATGAGTTATATCTGAAATGTAAAATAATTATTACTTATGAAGCATGCCTTTCTGGAGGACTTTCTAAGGAAAATTTACTTGCATCCATGTTACAAAAGGGGAAAACCATGAAAGCCAACTGTGCAACCAGCCCATTTGCCTGAATCTGAACTCAGGTCAAATTACCAAAGTTCATTTTACCACTTCATCACTTGACCATTGGCAGGGCTAATCTATGGAAATAAGCATACTTGCTTTAATTTTCCTAACAATTCTGGAAACACTGGTAGAAAGCCTCTTCAAGTAGGGGTCATATTATATTGGATAGCTTGAACTACCTGAAGATACTGATAGGTCCATTTTGATAAGAAAGTAAAGTGGATCAGAAGATGAAAAATCAAATGAATATGGTATCAGTGACAAGACAGAGATCTGTTTTTTATCAAAGAAACCCTAACTTCTTTGATGAAAATGTGATGTCGCATCAAGTAGTCAAAGGATGTTTTAATTCTTTTTGCAGTACAATATGAACTATGCTGTCCCGGATGATCCCACTTTAAACATTTCTTCTTTAGAAAGTACACTAACCCCTTTAAGGCCAAATTCAATTACTGAACATTTTAGGCACGTGATAAGATTTTTCTATTTTCTATGAACTGTTTGAAGATGGTAATAAGTCTAAGCACAATAATAATACATTCAGATTTGTAGCTTGGAATGAAAGTAATGGTTTACAGGAAATAAATATTTTATAGATTTCATGAAATGATAGTTTACACATGACATCAAAATTATCATTTTATGAAATTAAGATAATCACAGACAATTTTTTTAATTGTTACTATTTACCCACATATAAATTTCAAATGCTTAATTTGTAACTTTATCTAGAATTTCTCTACAGTCATCAAATAAATACTTACAACTGTTGTATTAGACATAATAACTTCTTCAGTACTATTTGCCACATTATAGATTCCGATAGCACCAAAAGCATCTTGGAACAAAAACTCATGGTCTAAAAAAAAAAAAAAAAAAAAAAAAAAAAAAAAAAAATACATGTTTATTCTTAAATAATGAAGAATTTGTATGTTTGTTTTTCACATTATAGAAAAACAGTGCTACCCAGTGCCATCAAATTTTGAACATACATAGTCATTCACCATAACATATGAAACTCAAAATTTGTTTATTTACTTTATGCTTTGTGCAAATTTAATGAAATTTTGATTAACAAATTCAGCAGTTTCAAAGTAATATTTTGCCATTCAACAAGACATAAGATATTTGTGTATTAAATTCAATCAGCAAACTCATCTCACCAATAGAAATGCATTGCCACTTCCAGACATAAAAGACTTCTATCTTTCACATGCCAATGTGTTGCCATCAAGCAAAGTATAAGATGCTGAAAATTTTCTTTCAAATTTAATCAGTCCGCTCTTGATTAACAAAATAAACAATTGATTTAAAAGTAAATGCAGTTCATCTCTTTATTTGTAACATGACTAAAATTTGCAGCACACTTATTATTTTAACGTATTCCAATGCACAAATATTTGAGCAGTAATAACTTTAAAGAAACTGCCATCATTCACTACACAATAGTATCAGATTACATATGGATTTATTCTTTACAAATTACTGCAGTTTGCTGAAGAAATATACAAAAACATAAACAAGAAAAAGTACAGTACATCAATTTATTAACATCATTATACTAATAAAATTATGGATTAATTTTTAAGATACATAGTAAATAATGCAGCCTCCCTCTGAAAAAATGATCCTATACGTAATTTTTTTTAATATTATGAGTTAATAATATTTTAAAATATGGAGAAGAAACATTATGTGTGGAGAAGAAAATATCACCAAAAACTTGCATTATAAATTTAGTTTAATAAATTCAAAAATATCCATGGGTTGTTAAACTTCTCATCCAACAGTGACTGCTTATTTGATTTTCTCTTTTAGTTAAACATTTAGTTTCTTTAATACTGAGCTCCATGAAGCCAATCAATTATCCATCATCTTTTTCTACTAATATCTTCTGCAGCAGACTGTTAGCAGTATCTTCAGTAACTAAAAATCATATTTTTATATTTAATACTTTCCGTTTGCAGTCTAAGATTACAGACACACATTAAATCAAAGTTTATCATTTAAGATTTACGTCAGTTGAAATTAAAAAACACTGAATTATCAACTCCAAAATACACTGCTGGCCATTAAAATTGCAACACCAGAAAGGAATGATCTGATGAACATCAAAATCACATGAAAGGAAGAAACTGGGATATGCAAATGATTAGTATTTCAATGCATTCAGATGATGCAGGAGGAAAAAAGGACCTCTGAAGCACTGCATAAAAGAAAAGTTGTGTAGTGGATAACTCATTGGGAAAGTGCATTGTAAGATTGAAGTTTTCTCAGAATAGAATATTGTATTATGCCTCGAATAAGAAGAGGAAATACTTTCCAGCAAGTTTCGAAATTCGATAGAGGCAGGATCGTTGCCTATCGAAAGTGTAGATTATTGTTCCATGATATTGCCGGTTGCACTAGTTGACATCCAACTACTGTCATAGAAATATGGAATGAATGGATTGCTGAGGGTCATACTGAATGTCATGCAGGATCTCAACACCCTACCATGACTAATGCCAGAGAGGAACAGACATATTGTGAGGTCAGTTCTGCAAAACCATATGACCACCTCACAGATCATTAGTCAAGAAATGGACATGTTTGCAGCATGCTTAGTATCAGCTCGTAAGGTGCATCGATGTTTGCAGCAGCATCAGAAGGGTGACCATTACTTCGGCTTCCCTTGACAATGTAGAATAGAGAGAGATGGCGACTCTTGTGTGCCAAAATGACAAAGCTGGGTAGAGGAGTGGCACAATGTTGGATTTTAAAATGAGTCCCAGTTCTATGTGCAGTCTGGAGTATGGCTGTTCTTATGGCTGTTTGGAGTGTCCGAGGAGACTGCACGTTGCCTGCTTGAATTTGATATCAGCATAGGGGCCCTGCACCTGGTGTGTTGGTTTGGGCAGCTATCAGGTAGACGACACGTACATCTCTAGTTTAGATCGACGGTAATTTGAATGCAGATGGGTACATTTCCGACATCTTACATCTAGTGGTCATGCCCTATCATTGAGGCCCCCAAATGCCACGTTCCAACTAGATAATGCAAGACCACATGTTGCAAGTCGTGTTCTGACTTTCCTCGATACACAAGGTATTCGAATGCTGCCCTGGTCTGCACAATATCCAGATCCATCACCCATTGAAACAGATGTCCAAATGACAGATAATTTATTGATAATCACGTTTCAGTGTCATTTATTGTAGTGTTATTAAGTAACATACATAATTAAAAACTTGAAGGCTTACATTAGAGATGCCTTATTGGTCATTAATATTTGCTGCTGAAAAGGAGACGACTTTAAAGAAATAAAATTAAGCAGTTACTTGGGAGGAAATTGCTGCATAGATGAAAACAATGACACAAGTTAAATTGTACATTAGTATCAGATAGAATGTAAAATTTTCTAATCTATGTTATTCTGTTTATATCCTAATGCCTTTTCTAAATTACAAACATTATAATCATCATCATGAGATGGCTAGTTTTACAGATCTTGCAATAAAACTCCATTTAATACTGAATATTTCTAAAACATTTTGTAATTTACTTACTCTAATGGTTTTTTTTTAAACATTAACAGCAGTAAATACTTTTAAAGTCTTGAACAGCCCACATACACAGAACAGTTTCACATAATTTGAGACTATAAAATTCAGCTTGAACAGCTTTACATAATTTGACGCACTCAGGTGGTTTTTGGACAGCTCCACAAAATTTCAGAATATAAAACTTCAAATATTAAACTTATTAATATTTTCCACTTTCAAAATCCTTTAACAGTTACACTGTCTTATAAGTAAACATATGATTTAAATGCAAACAGAAAGAAAACTGCACATTTTAAAGCTTTTACTGAACATTTATATGATTTGTTTGTTGCTTAACTAAACTATACAAAGCACATTATGGTTATATGTTTAAAGACACAGAAGTCTTCATGGAAAAATTTCAGTGAGGAAATGCCTATATTACTAAAGACGTATTCCTGAATTATATAGCTGCTATTATAAAAGCCATGGCACAAATGTGGTTTTGGGTTATGAATGCAATGGTTTTGCTGCAGTTTGTGAAGTTTTGCTGCAATATTTGAAGTTTTATATACACTAGCTGCAATTCACTTTCCCTTCTCCTTTTTAACAAGCTACGACATAGTTTTATTCAAAACAGATATTTATTTAAATTTCAAGACCAGTTTTACATTTCCTGACTGACTGTAGGGTAAAATTGTTTCCTATGATGCTATCTTCTTTAGAAGGGATGCATTCACAGCAGGCTTGCCAAGGAAAATTGGCTTATACATACTGCTCATGAATAAACTCTTCAAAATTGCAGCAAAACCATTGCATTCATAACCCAAAACCACATTTGGGCCATGGCTTTTATTCACTCAACTGCAACAAATATTTAATTAAATAAAATAAAGAAAAAGATGTCCCACCAAAAAAATTAATAAATTTAAGAAAATTAGTATTAAAATTTATGACAACTATTTCCAGCAAAGAAGTACAGCAATTTAAAAATTTGCAAATATATAAAATAAATGTACAAATTAAAAGAACAATAATAACAGTTACATATATATTTACCTGATATCCAAGTGCCATTGAATCTCCTATAGCTAAAATGACCTTTTACTACTTCTTCTAAAGATATCCTACTTTTTTTAAGATTAAAACCTTTATCACCTAAAGAAAAGAATAGAATTTATTTCTAGCAAGAATTTTATTTAACATTTAAACAGTTACACATAAATATAGACTCAATGAGTTGAAAAACAGCTTAAATATTATATCAACTATGCAGAGCTAGTATTTATTATTTCATTAAACATCAGTAACTTTTTCTGTCTCTCTCTCTCTCTTTTTCAGGAGGAGGTAAGCACTAAAAGGTGTAAAATCACATTTATATTTATTCCTAGATAGTATCACAGGTATATATTATGTAAGTAATTCTTACTGAAAATAACAGCACTGCATAGAATTTTCCCTAAAATCTATGTTCATAAGGACATTTTCACTTTAGTTAAAATATTAAATTTGTTAGGTACATACTGACAACTAATTAGGATACATTATTATTTTTAATCAGTTTCAGGAACTCAAGTTCCATAAAATTTTAGGGTACTTTTATGTCAGATGAAGGAAAATTTAAAAACTAGTTTTAATGTACAGCTGCAGAATGAGGAAAGTTGGCATGAAATATTTCCCTTGAATTTAATTTTTCCTATCCAAACTATTGATATGGTGTCAAGTCCTTTATGAATACATAATAAGAAAAGGGTAAAGAAGATTTTTTCTTCCCCCATTCCTTGTAATAAACAATGAGTTTTCAATCACTTATCTTTAGTATAATTTATAGCTTAGCCATTTTGGTTATGACCGTGCTTTTTCTGAGTGTTGAACATGAATTAGAGAAAACATGTTACTATCTCTTGAAGTAAAAGTTTTTAAAACTGACTAACTGGTAAAGAAAGAGGGTATCGAAGATTTTACTGCAGCTTAATATTAAATAAGAAGTAACTTTGTGGCCTGCACAAGCTACCTCAGTGGCTGGTATTTTAGATTTTCTGTCGTTAGATGCTGAAATTTAAAAATTTAATTTTTGCAGTCATGATATCGAGGCTTTCTAGCAAACAAGGGTTTTGTCTCCATGCGAGACCATAAATAACTGTTTCATATATAATAATAATAATAAAAGTTGTAACAGGCTTCATTTAGAACAACCTATTTTCTAAATTAACTGTTGAAGGCATAATAAAGATTAGCTGTGAAGCTTCTAAATATTGATGAGCAGTTCTATCCCAGGTGAAGTTCAGAGATTATTGATCCTTTTTAAAAGGTTATACAATTTTTTTGTTGATTAGAAAAAGCTGTTTATAAATTTACAACCTATACCATCATTCTAATCAGAACTGCACTGAATAATGAAATTTAGTAATAACACGGAATTTTTCCCATGAAACTTAAAATCTTGTGTGTCTCAATCCTTATTTTGCTTATTTGTTTTCAGTGTTAAACATATTAACCCTTCACCGCACACACCCTTTCTATGACAATCAGAGCTTAAATTACGCAGGAGCTAGAGTTTCCACCTCTCCCGGAATTTCGGGATTCTCCCGGAATGGAGTCCTGAAAATTAAAATCTTCCGTCTCCCGGAGGGAATTTAAAATAAATATTACTCTCCTGGAATATCAAGTTTCTCGAAAATAACGACACACTGGTTGAGAGCATCGAAAATCACATAACTGTGCACAGCAGCCAAAGAACATCTATGTCAATACATATTCTTTGCAGCAGTGATCTACAGTGAGCAGTGAATAAGCGCCTTATGGGATGAGTCGTGGTTTCATGCTGGCGTGTCGCGCATATGCGCCCTCATTTCCCCTCACCCTCTCATTTTCAATCCATTCTTTCATCTAGTCTGCAATTAGCTAGCTATCTACAAACAAGTGGTATTTTGAAATTATTTAAATGCTTTCATAATAATGTCTAGTGAAAAAAACAATTCTACAGGTACCCCCACCCCCCAAAAAAAAGACAAAATATTCAAGACAAGGTGGTTAACTCAATTTGATTAGCTTATGAAGAGAGACAACTTTAACTCTTTGAAATCCAGACCTTTCGCAAACTTGTGTCCTCAAAACACCGAAACGCTCAAAATAGTTTTCCAGTTTCACAGCAATTTCCTCCCCTCCCCATCCATTAATGCAGAAAATAGGTGTGAAGATTTCCAATGACATCATTTGTACTTTCTGACAAAGATTCCATAGACTTGACCCATTTTTATAAAAAACTCGAAGGTCAGACCAACAAGCTTTCGGCTTTTATGATCACAACTAAAGATTTTGTTATTTGTATTTTATAGCAGGGATAAATGTTTAAAAAATAAATATCATCCTTATTTTTAAACTGCGTTTTATGCTGTTTAAAGCTTAAAAGCACATATACACAAAAAATAACAACGAAATGTCCGATCACCACAAGATCAGAAATTTAAGGCAAGCTGTCTGAGTAAACTGATGGTGAATTTGGGGAAACTGCACTGCTACTGCATATTTAGGGAAGGGAAGCAAACAAGATTACAATTCGCGTTTTTTTGGGGGGTTGGTGTTCAATGCAAGGCCGTGTCAAGCGGATTGGATGGGTAACAGAGAATGTAAAGTATGTCGGAAAAAAGTTAATATTAATATGAGGATGTTAGGCTTTAAACTGCAAAGAAGAACACCAGTGTTAATATGATGGGATTCTTCGCAATCGGTTTCGAACTTTTTCAAAAGAAATCTCAAAGAGAAAATATAACAGCAATGAAATTACTCCAGTCTATCATAGGATTAAGCACCACAATTTAATAGCAAGATTGCACAAATTGTATAGCACTCTATTCAGATTTTTCTTTTCAAAAAATGATTTCTTGTGGTAGAAAAAATGTACAAGTATTTGAGAGGTGTGCTTGCTCGCAGTCAAAAAATGCTTTAATAAAGATTAACTCAACTCTGTGGCTTAAAATGTCGCATAACTAACGTGAGCAGTCTCTAGACCACTCGCTAAAAAACAAAATAAGATATCTTTGATTTTTCGTATTTGAATAATGTTATTTAATTCATAATTTAACTTTTCATGAAGATATAAAGCAATTTTTATTACTTAAATCAGTCATAAAATTAAAATATTATACTATGATAATATTCCTCGCTATGTATTGAGGGAAGAAGTAAAATTAAAATTCAATTTATTTTATATTAAAATTTGCGAACGAATGCTTTCATAGAATATGAAAATTATTTTATTTTTTAATATGATCGAGCGCATTTTATACATACTTTTTACGGCTTATAAAAACCTGGTTCTTTGCATACATACATTGTAACTGTTTCTTTTTTTGCTCGGTGGACAAATAAGCAGTTTTTTTTTTGTTTTTTTTTTTTAAATCTAATTATTGTTTCGACGCAATTTCCTTCATCATCATTTATTCCAAAAACTCTTCTTATTGTAAATTTGAGTTCTTTAGGTAAAAATGATGAAGTTATCCTTTGTTTTACATGAGACTGCATCAACTGAATTGCTAATGAAATCATTTCATTTCATTTTCGGAGCCAATGGGATAAGATTGAAATAATACAAATGCATTTATTGCACAGATATCAAAGTTTCTGAAGAATATTGCCATAGGCCAACGTCAGGTTCAACGAGCAGTTGAATAGATTGAACGAAGAATAATATTATGTCTACGTATTCAAACACCCTTGCTGGGCTCTTGAAAAGACCATTTAAATTCATTTTTTCCAATAAAAAAATCTGTTGTAGAAGGAGAACATGCATTTTCATTTTCATCGGCAGATATTTCTGAAGTTGTGTCGTGGTCGCTCTCAATAATTTCATCATGGGAATTTTCATCAGAGAACTGTAAATTAGACCAATTTTGAACTATTTATTTAATTTGGTCTTGGATAAGATATATAGAATGTTTCCTGCATGCACTTGAAGCTATTTCAAGAACATTTATAAAAAAGCGAAATACGTAACAACAACGAAAAGTGAACTTTATTGGGCAAAATTTGAATCGTATCTGCTGTGATCGGTCCCACAGACCGCTGAAGGGGAAAAATTAAAAATAAATAAATAAATAAAAGAAGAAATAGAGCTACCCATGTGCAACTTGGTATGTGACTTTGGACAACTGCTTTAGGAAGGTACTAGGAATGGCAATACCCATTAATTATTCTAAGGGGTGGAATCATTTAATGGAAAATGTCGCGTGGTCTCCTCACAGCAGTTAAAGGTTAAGGAGGTAGAGATTTTTTCAGTTCTGACTGAAAAAAAACTTTCTTTTCTTTTCCCGGAAACTTTTTTCCCTCTCCCTTATTTTGACAGCTAAGAGGTGGCAACGCTAGCCGGAACCCGCCTCCGGTACTTCTCAAATTTCGAGATAAATTATAATTTCAGCCGGAGCCCACACTTCTTTTATGTAAGTGAACCACAATTTCATCAGATAAATTTTGTTTTAATGGTAAACATGCCTTAAAAATCAATTCAAACTTATGAATGCAGGTCTGTCTTTCCTTCGCACTCAAACCTTGCACAGAGGTTGAGACTTTTAAGGAAAGAAAAATTCCTAATCATATGCCAAAGGCTTATTCTCCAGTATCTGCAACAAATTAATGACGGTGGACAAATTTTGTGTTTCTCAAAGTACTAAAAGTGATACCCTGATCATACACGTTCCACGCTAGTGACTTCCTATTTTGCTGAACTCCTATAGACTTTCTGAATGATGTAGCCAAACGGGGGGGGGGGGTCGAACCACTGCTGTCACTTGTACAGAGATGTCTTACGTTTATTCTCACGCTGTTACCGAATCGTAATCAGAGAAAATTTCTCCTTGACGGCTAGAATTATATTGATCGAGCATCGCGATCAGAAAGTCTTGAACTCCTTCCTCTTTATTTTCAAAGTTACACTTTTACATTAAAATTTCTTTCCATATACTTATACTGTTTCTAGAATTCTCGTCATTCTTCTTAGCGGAGCTTTAATCGTTTTATCCTTTTTCCTTGGTGTGCTGCAAGAAAAGAGTGGTACCTATCATCCCTTGGAATAGTACATTATACATATAATCAAGGCAGACATTATAATTCAGACGGAGATCAGCTGAGCTGCTTTTTAACTTCTAAGTGGATTGCAATTCCCAAATAAGACAAGGTCCGATATTTTATTTTCTATTTGACTATTTAAAATTCATTTAATAGTTTAATAGATTTCTTTTTACATTTCTCCTAATTAAAATTTAATTAGTTTAATTTTTAGCTATTTTTTTTTTCCTTTCGCTCCTCACAGTCTTCCATAGGGCTCTGGCACTTCTAACTTTAGAAATTAAGCCCTGATGACAATACCACATGCAACGGGTCAATTTGATCATAATTTTTATGTTAGCTTCTCAGTAAGGTATAGGCATTTTAAACAAAAAATTATACCTAAACAGGGTATTTGAATATTTTCTTAAGCGTCAGTATGTTACAATTACAAAAAAACTAATTTAACTTATTTTTGATTTTGTAGCCCTACTTCTTTAACATTAATTCATTTTCTACTATTTTGAAACACTTAAACAATTAATACATACAGTTAACACTATTTTTCAGTATTTAAATAACAATAAAAATAATATTTTGATTCACATTTGTAATGGTAAATTTTGAGTAAAAAAAGGCTTAAACTTGCACTACTGAGCATTTATATTCAGTTGGTAGATTTAATTTATTTTCTTGGTTCCAAATACTTTTTTTATTCAAAATAATTAATTTTTATCGCTTTTTTTTTTGTAAAACAATTCTAGCATATAATGAATGAACGGGTTTTGCACAATGATTTATTGCATTCTCAACAAGCAAATTAAGACTTTTAGTCAGATTTCTTTAGACACCATTCACATTGACGATGAACTGGATATTTCTTCAGAAATTTCGCCGGTCTATGATCTGGCAAATTTAGTATTGTTTTAGAGTTAGTTCTAATATGCTGTGGTAAAGTGTACTCTGACCTATCAAGAAGATGTCCCTTTATTAAGTCAACAGCAAGCTCCTTCAAATAATTTCATCATGAATTATGATTTCTTTCATTGTTAATTTTATAGCTAGTGCAAGAATTAAACAGTGCAAAATATTTTAGAGTATTTCGCTGGTTTGCTCTTGAAGTATTGGCAAAATATCTTCTTGAAAATGGTTCTAGTTTTCTCATCACTAGTACAATATTCAGGAATGCAATACACCTTTTGAAAATTATAAATTATTTTTTTCAAAAAAAGCTAATCTATCAAATTCTTTTCTTGCTTGATGACTGTGTATGCTATCAACTTCCTCATTTGTCAAAGCACTAACGAGAATATCTTGCAGCCTCTGCTGCTTCAATTCATACTCAGATTCATAATGTAAAATGACTACGAAACATTAGCATACACTGTGGGTAAAACTGATCCAGACAGACAAAAAACTTGTTTTTAAATTTTCTGTTCCTAGGAGTTCTTCTTACTAGACTACTCAATAAGGTACCAGAAGTGACAGGTGACAGGTTTTGAGAAATTTCTAAAATATCTGTGAATAATAGGAAATATCAGGTCAAAAATACCCGATGTGTGTGCTCATGAGTTAAACAAATTTTGGACAATCAATGTGATTAATATGCTTCAGGTATGTGTAAAATAAATTTCTATTGCATTACATTTGAGAATGAAAATTAGATATAAAAGATACTTAAGTAAAGCTAAAACCTTAGAAAGAGTTAATTTGTACCAAATTTTAACTCAACTGCCAATTTTAGGTTTTTGATTAATAAAACTAAGTTTTAACTGATAAAATTTTGATGAGCTATAAAAACAATTCCTCAAACTTCTTTCAAATGAACCTTTAACTCTTTTTAAATAAGCAAATACTTTTCCTAACATTAAATATTTTTGCATTGCTTTAAAATGCTTGCAAATGTTACTTCATTCATCAAAAAGATAATGATCACCAGTGTGACTAGAATCCATTATATCAAATCTACATGAAATGCAAGCTAACATTTTTAGAAGAATGCAAACTTTTTTGGGGTGAGTAGGTATAAACTATTATCAATATCATGCCAAAACTACCTAGAATCTGAGAAATGTGAGATTGTTTCATAATTTCTTAATATGGATCTTAACAAATACTTCAAATAATAAGAATTTTAATGCAGGCTAATTTATAATTGCAGACATTTAAATAAATGTACATTAAATTGTGTGAAGAGGTATATAATTTGAGAATAGTTTACATTGCTATAAAATGCAATGTAACAATTTTTATAAGAATTTACAGGATGATCAATACAAATTCTGAACTGCAAAATTTATAAAAAGAAGATCAAATGCAAAAAGACAAAAAAAAAAAAAAGTAAAAAAAAAAAATAAAAAAAAAAAAAAAAAAAAAAAAAAAAAAAAAAAAAAAAAAAAAAAAAAAAAAAAAAAAAAACAAAAAAAAAAAAAAAAAAAAAAAAAAAAAAAAAAAAAAAAAAAAAAAAAACAAAAAAAAAAAAAAAAAAAAGATCAGACGCATTTTTTTGTAACAATTTGTTTAGTACAGTAGTACAAGAATATTCGAATAACATACCTGGTGTTAATAGGACTATAGCTGCAACTATAAGAGCACAAACCACAACAATTACTAAAAGTGCTATACCAATACCCCGCCAGTTTTTCTGATCTGGTCCTGCAGCAACAAGCTCCTGAAAGTAAGAAAAAATTATAGCAGCTTTACAAATATAAAATTATATAACATGGATTAAAAATATCAAAGAAACTGTTTTACTCTTCTTCCACATATATGTTATGCATTTAATAAATCATCTATACTTATATCAACTGCACTTGGGAAGTGCAACACTTACAATAAAACAGTCAAATAAACTCAGAAAAATGGAGGGAAAAAATTAAATAAACAACTAAATCCCTCTAATACAGAGCGTATCAATTTCTGTTTGAAATAAAGGCAAGATTAATTTAACTCCAAATAAAAAAATCCAGAAGTATTTAAAAAGCTTAGTTACATTCATCTCGTTATTAGCTAACATAATTAATATCGAAACACTACCGCAAAATGAGTTAAAACATATTACTTTTGAATTTTATCATTCACGGAAGTATTCGATATCCTATAAAAATGCGCGATGTCACGAACAAGCATGTATCATACAATCACCATAGCGATATCTTCGATTTTGTAAACAACTCTTACCAAAGGTTCCTGCGGTTGTTGATGAACCGCATTGAGCGGTGGTATTTCTCCCTGATCCAGTTTAGCGTCTGCTGTCATTTTTTCGCGCCAAACTAGACACAAACGTTATGGGAAGCTCTTTTGGGCCTTCCCTCATTCACCCAATTCTGATTTACATCTTAATACCCGGGACGCAAAAGCTTCAACGAGACCCCAGATGCCCCTCAGCATTTCGACCTCCCTCTTTCGATGCAATCAACAAAATAGTAACGAGTGCTTAGAGGAGGGTTACCTTATATCATCGCCAAGTCAGCCAACAAACGCCATTACGCTACCTGAGATGATATTTTATATATTACTAAAATTAAAATAAAGTCGAGGCAAAAGAAAATAAATAATTTTCCTGTCTTCTCTTTCGTTCTTTAGTATTAAAGATAATGCTGCTGCTGAAAACAAAATTCTAGTTATTTAGAACTGTTTGACAGCAGTTGCTGCCCATACAGCAATAAGGATAAAATGCCCGAACTAACGGTATCTATGAAGTCTCAGAACTATTCCTCAGTCAAAATTACATACAGTGGCTTACAATTGTTTTCAGACACTAAAGTTTTTCAGATTTATTTGCAAATATCGATTAATCAGTATTAGCAAAATAAGTTTTTTTTTTTTTTTTTTTTCATATACATTTTTGGACATCCTTTATCTAAAATTCTAAAATGATGCTTTTTATGACTTTGGAACGGAGTCAACTAATTTTTTTGTGTAAGAATGTTCTATTTATTTCATTCCTATGTAAGAGTTGCTTTTAGTAAAACGAAGAAATATCATGCTTTCTTATTCTTTTCTTCAATTCACTCCCTGCATGTTCAATAAGATTTAAGCTCGCAGAATAATTAGGAGTTTTGGTGACTTTAGGAAATTTTTATGATAATCACAGGTGAATATTTGTGATCGTTATCTTGACAGACCATGAATGTATTTTGCCTTCCGAGTTTTCTTGTATATACTTTCAGGTTTTCAACGAGAATATTTATATATGCCTCCAAGACGGGAAAGTGATTAATGACTTTTACCGAAGGGCCCGGGTTCGAATCCCGGCGAAGGCATGGATGTAAAATCGTCTATCCCTTTATAACAACCGTGACCGCCTATTAGTAGGTGCCTTCATAATAAGATGGCCACCACTTCTGGCCTTAGTAGTGGCTAAACCCTAAAATGGCTAATGACTGCCATGAAAAAAAATTGATAAAACTTATATATTTACACTCCCCCCCTATATTATCTTCGATAAACACTAAATTTCTTATTCCAAAGGCAGTAAAACAACCTGAAACCATTATGCCTCTATCACCGTGCGTGATAGTAGGCAACAGGTTTCCCGATTTCAATTATTAAGTCGGCTCTTGCAATATATTAATGCATCTACCTGATCCAAATATGTTAAATTTTTGGCTTTTCTTCAAATATAATATCGTTCCAATAACGCTAAACTTTGATTTTGCGAATGTCAGGAGTGTATTTCTTGCTTTCTTATTGGCAAATAATTTTCTCTCTGATCGCCCAGTGTATCCACCTGCCCTTATGACTCTTTAGATAAAAGCTCCAGAGATTACTATTATTGCAAACCCTTCTTCTAAATTTGCTGAATGTTTACAATGCTAATTTTTTACCCTTGTTTCGTAGAATAAATCTGCAATTCCTTGGGGTTAGCTGGATATGTGGTCCAGGCTTCAGTGCATTTTGAGTGCATCGTTCCATAATATCAAAGATAGTCGAATGCTTTCCAGTTTTTTTTTTTTTTTTTTTTTTGGTATCTTTAAAAAGATGAATTATTAAATTTCTAGCAAAAATGTGAGTTAATTTGTAGCGTCTTGCTATGTTACTTTTAGATACGGAAATATTAATAATATGTTTTGCTTAACAAGTAATAATTTCTAAATGCAGACGATAATTGTTGCGATATTTCCGAATTATATTGCGAGTTACTGATTAACGCTTTTTGCAGATATTATTTTATTGCAAAGAATATTTTGAGGACATTTATGTTACAACATGCGAGGTTTAAGATAAAGAAAAAATAATATACTAAATAAAATTTAAAATTTGGGTTTTAATATTTAGTACAAGATCTATGCAAATGAATTCAAAATACAATGTCTAAAAACAAATATAAGTCAATGAAATCTGCCATCTGCACAAAATTACAAAAATAGAACTAAAAGCAGAACTGTCATTTTAACGGAGAAGAACAAAATAATAAAAACGCTAAATTAAAGGAACAAATGTAACATACAAGCTAGAACTTACCATACAAGCTAGAACTGTAATTAATCAGAATGTTAGGTTAGAAAAAATTGGAATTAAGTCTGTAAATGAAATGATTTGGATTTAAAAAAGGGGAGAGAACTGACTGACAGCTAAGGAAGTGCATGCTGAAACTCAGCGCTAAAATTGTTTCTGAACATTACACCAGAATTTCAAATATCTGGAAGAATAAGTGGAACTAGAATTTATTGGGACATTAGAAAACTTCGTGTAACTGAACTTTTCTGCAGGAAAAATAATATTTACAGTAATGCAAAACACAGACAATACAAGTCTTTCGTTTAATCACATATTGTATATATATTTACCGCATTTCAGCAAAAATTGCATAATAATAAAAAAAATACAATTGTATATTACATTAATGCAAAATACAACTTATCTAAATTAATTTCGCTGTTTATTACAGAAAATGTACAGTTATTCTTTACTTAAATTTACGCCAAATAGAAACAAATAACTAAAATAAATGAAAAATAAATGAAAAATAAACCAAACAAAACAAAATTGCAACGTTGGTGAGCTTAATTTATGTGATGTAGGCAGAACAACAAACGATGGAGATATCTGGTGTTCCGGATACTCGAATTTTGGATAACTGGAATTATACTGCAATCATATTATGCTTCGTAATATATTGGCTTAAGTTTTGATACATAAGAGTAAATTTCAGTTCATATATTATTATTTCCCTTTTACGGGGCATTTTTGAAAGCGTCAATAAAAACATAGTCTTTTTTCCATATAAAGATTTGTATTCCTTAGATAATGAAAAAGCACAATAGAAAAGAAATATTTCGCGAATACTAAGGAAAACTGGTTCGTATTCATGCTACATATGGGGAAAACAATAAATGCTTTCATACAGCCAGCCCGTTCTCTCAGACTTGACTGGTTTGATTATTTGATTATGGCAAAGCACTCGAAGGCTTATTCCTAAGGCGAGAAATGTTTTCGTGAAGGACTTTCTAAGGAAAACTGCCTCATATCCCATTTAAAACCACGAAAACATTCATGCAGCCAGGCATTTCGCCTGGAAACCAACCCAGATCGAACTACCAGTGTTCAGCAATTTTACCGCTCGGCCGCTAGTAGACCTGAGATATGAATCCGGATTTAAGTACCAGTTTATTAAAAAAAAAGCTTTATTCATTACAGAACAATCATTTGGGTTGCGGGGAGGGAGAGGGGAAAAAAAAAGAACGATTGTCATATTTAAATCAAACTAGAGCTCGTTCTTACCAAAAGAGAAGTTCGGTTTTAATTTGTAAAATAGCTGAAATATTAATGACACGTATTTTAGGCCGAAGAAGGTTGAATTAAATTAAAGCAAAAAACCGAGACGGTACCTTTGAAGTACTGGCATTAGAAGCTATCTAAATATGTGAAAATGCACTGGTCTTCAAGCTCAAAATATACATCAGATGTTAACTATGCAATTATCCTAAATAAAAGGATTAATTTACAAAGAAATCTAAAATCCGAATAACAGATAAAGGCCTCGAAATATTTAAAAAAATAATTTTATAAAATAATTTTATAAAACATACAATCTATCAGACTGATTTCATATACATGCATATATATGTACTCATCGTATGTATTAATTTTTTGTGTGACACGTATTCTACTGTATTTTTCTTTTTTCTTAGTTGTCGCTATTTACTTTCATAACTTGTGATTGAAATGCATAAAAATCACATTGAAATTCACTTTTAAATAAATATACACGGAATTTTACTCATTCCGTATAAATATTCGATTCTAAATTATGTTTGGCTTATTAGGTTTAAGTTAAAGTACATTTAATATATTATCTATATCTGCTTAAGAGGAGGGTTGATTTGCTTTGGTTTATTGAGATTATAGCAAAGCACACTGGCGATATCCGTTCAATGGGAGGGAAGCCTTCGTGGAGGACTTTCTATGGGAAACTATAGAAGTTACACATGTGGAAAACCTTGTGTAATGTGTATACGAGATGCCTTGTGTTTACGTGTATACGAGACGTCCATGCTAACAGTCCGTTGGGGATTCGAACGTCGGGGAATTTAGATCTTCTCTTAGTCATGATTGTGACTTACCGAGTTACTGAAACTAGCAACCATCTTCCAACAATTCTTACTAAGATGAGACATTATTCAGATTTATTTAAAGATTTTTTTTTTTCTTTTTTATTTCGATTTGACCATGATCTGACTGTGAGATCCTTTACTCCTTTTCCTTCTACATTTATATCGCAAGTGTACCGTAGTTATGGAGGGAAGACGGAAACCCTATTAGCGTCGGATTAAAAGATACGTTACACTTGCGACTGCGCAGGGCATTAGTTTTAATGCGGCTACAAAGTTCACTTAAAATTACTGCTTGCCTGGTACCAATATTGCATCAAAAGGTGCCCGAGACGTTTTCGGTTCGCTGCGCGAAAATGTCTTCGTCCGTCACTAAACAGTATCGTTCAAAGAGCTCTCTTTTAACCAAACGTCATTCTATAGATATAGGCACTATGCTGGACTAAGACCACCGTTCAACACACTGGTTAAGTTTGGCTATTAAGACTTTAAAAAGCATACGAGAATTATCTGCCTAAGTGGAGGGATGACTTCGAGGTGGGCTTTCTAAGGAAACTGGCTCACAATCGCGTTATACATGGAAGGAACCACAAAAACCAACACTTATAGCAGCTACTTTTTTGACAGGGGATTTAACTCCAGCATTCAACAGTTTTAACCACTTGACTACTGCTTGGGCATTAGCATAGGTGGTAACTTGCAACTTATAACGCTTTTTTTTTATTTTTTTCATGATATCAGGTGTCGTTATAATAAGCGCCAACTCTACTGAACCCAATGCGATATTCAGAGAACTCTCAAATCCACAACGATTTTAATGTAGACAATATTCACCATCACACAATAAAAACTACTCTCATCTTCTTTCAAAGAATTGACGGCTCACTAGGCGGCCGAGCGATAAAGTCGCTGAACACTGGTAGTTCGACCTGAATTTGATTACAGGTTTTTGTTTAATTGATTATGGCAAAGCACACTAGGGCTATATGCCTCAGGGAAGGGATGCTTTTGTGGAAGACATTTTAAGGAAAACTTTAAGGGAAAACTTATGTACACGTTACACATGGGAATAACACGAAAACGCCCATGAAACCAGACCGTTCGCCTGGAATCGAACCCAAGTCGGAACTACCAGTGTTCAGCGATCTTACCACTCAGCCGCTTTTAATTCCAGAAGAATGAGCTAGCTTCACAGCGTTTACATGGTTTTCCCCGCGCGTAATGTAGTTTCCCTTTAAAAAAGGTCCGCTTTAAAGGGATTCCTTCCCATAAGCAAATAGCCCTCGAGTTGCTTTTCCTTAATCAAAAAAACTTAAGCTAACCTTCAAAGTATTGTCACTTCCCAGTACTAAGGAATGCGCAATGTTGTAAATTATGGTCCTATGTTGTAAATTATGGTCCTAATTTTTGGTCTGTTATTACAGACCAGTCTTACAAGAGGGCAAAAACAAATTTTTCATGGTGATATTATATCGAGTCTTTTCTCACATTTTTGAAACATCAAAAATAAAAGGAACGCAAGTTAATAGTCTTCTTGGACTTAGTACTTGCATGAGAAAATGGTGCTTTGATTTTTACTGGCAGTTCAAATCATTTTTTGATCATTAAGCAGTTGTAGTAACTGATTCCCTGGAAATCGATATATAGTTTTTTTATAAAACCGAAGCCAATGCAAAGCTGATTTTTACCTGATTTCATAAGGTTGAATATATTTTTAGAGTACTTAGGCTAATAAAAGGGCAGAAATAAAAAATTCATTAACGTAAAAATATTTGAAAAGTTATTTTTAAAATTTTG